TGAGCTGCTGTATTTTTTTAAGCAACTCCCCGACACTGGCTACTGGGTCTGTTATGCGTCACCTCACCCCATTGTTAACACTCTACTCGCTCATTTTCTTTTCCACTTTAATTCACAAAATGCTTATAAATAACATTCATTTAACTTCACAATTCCCTAACCTGGGTACCACAGGGACGATTACATCACACATGAATAAATAGTTATAAGTATAAATAAATGAATAAATAATAAATATATAGGGTTACATGAGTATTTTAATTTATGTAGAAGTAGATAAGTAGATTTGTAGTTTGTAGTTTGTAGTGGGTGGTTATTGTTGATTATTTCGTGGTTTTTATTCACTTTAAAACTAAACTTAAAATAAAAAAACCTGGCACCACCCAGATGTGGGCGGCGATAATCAAATTTCCAATAGTTTTCTCCCAGTTTAATTCCTTTCCTCGCAGACTCCCAGATTTCGAATTTGGCGCCGGAAGCTGCAAACACAAAAGCACTTTAATTTATATTTTTTTTTTTATCTAAAACTTGCACTCTCACTTTGGAATTTTTTTCCCAGAGACACGACTACTTTTTCTCAGCTTCTAGATGGTTCTGATTTGCCCTTTAGTTGCCCTTCTTGTAAGTCGGCTCAATTGCTTTTTCGAGAGAGAGTTTTCCGGAATTTAAAACTATCTTGAGCCCACTATTCTACTAGTTCCGCCACGAACCAGCACGACTCCGGAACCAGTTCTCCATTCCCAGGCCATCCCTAGTATCGGCATCTGTTGCTCCTCTCTAACCCAGGTACGCGGTCGTTTGGTATGTTTTGATTTTGTATAGGTTTATTTTCTTTATTTTTGGCAGACCATAACACCACACTACGGTTTCTTACTATGCGGCACTTGGAGTACTTGCGACAAAACTTGGCATTTATGTTGTTCTTGAAATCGCTGAGGATGAAGTTTCGCTTAAAGATTTCTTGGCCAGGTAGGTACTTGATTTCTTTAGCTCTTCTATTGTATTGTTTGGCTGATCTCTCATATGTTTCATTAATGCGTTCTGTTACCTTTTCTCTTATTAGTTGAAGCCGATCCGTTCGAGATAGACTCTGTATCTGGGCGTCGTTTACGGCGTCTAGTTTTCGGGCTATCCTATAATCTTGCCCGCTCAGGAACATGTGTTGGCCAAACATGGCAAAGTATGGGGAGACACCAGTGCTGTTGTGGACGGCACTCCGCAGAGAACCTTGAATCTCGACTATCTTGTCATCCCAACGTGTGTGGTCTTCCCCTACATGGATCCTAATAGCTGCAAGTACGGATTGGTTCACGCGCTCTGAGGCATTCGACTGTGGAGCATACCTGCCGGTCCTCTTATGACGAATTTGATACCTCTCCAGGAAACTTTGAAACCGGCTTGCTACAAACTGGACTCCGTTGTCGGTGAGTATTACCTCTGGAACACCAAACTCATGCCATATTTCCGACTCCAGATATCTGACGACTGCGTCTGCTGTCGCTTTTGGCATTGCTTTTAACCAAACAAACTTCGTCAGATGATCCAGCACTACCAATATGTAGCAGTTGCCCCTTTTTGACCGTGGATATTTTCCCAGGAAATCCATATACAGCTGCTGCATGGGCCGTGAGGTGATTGTTTGTTTGCCCATTTTCGGCCTAGTCAGCTGGGTTGTGTGCTTGGTTTCCTTGCAGATGTTGCAGTCTTTAACGTAGTTTTTCACCTGGATTGCCATCTTGGGCCAGTAGTAGAACTGCCTAAGCCTGTTAAGCGTGCGACCTATGCCTCCATGCATCGCGGTATCGCTGTCGTGTGCTTGCTGGATTAAAGTATTGTTTAACGCTTCCGGAATCCACAGCTTCCACGGAAATTCCTGTGTGTCCCCGGTCACAAATTGTATTCTCTTGAGCAAGAGCCCGTCTTCCACCACTAAATCTGGAAACTGCTCCGCATTTTCCTTCACCGTTTGGATTCTTTCCAGATACTCGGGACTTTCAAATTCAATGGTTTCAAAATCGAACACCTCAATGGCTTCTACCTCCGGGATACGGGACAACATGTCTGCCACCACGTTATCTTTCCCCTTCCGGTGCTCTATTTGGAAATCATATGCCTGTAACGCCAACGACCACCGCGCCAATCGTCCGTTTAGGTCTTTTAGCGTCATGAGCCATTGAAGACTGGAATGATCGGTGATGACTGTGAAGGGTAAGAGTTCTATATATGGGCGAAATCTATACACAGCTTTCACTGCGGCTAAGCACTCTTTCTCTGTCACCGTGTAGTTCAATTGAGCTCCTCGCAGCTTCTGAGAGTAAAACGCTATCGGTCTCTCATTTCCATCCATATCCCTTTGGAAGAGAACCGCACCAATACCCACATGGCTCGCGTCGCATTGGACGAAGAATCTGCTCTGAAAGTCTGGATGTATCAGCACGGGAGCTGAGGTGAGTGCTGTTTTCAGTTTGTCAAATGCCTCTTCTGCTGCAGGTGTCCACTTTAACTTGGTCTTTGACTTCAAACAGTCCGTCAGAGGCGCCGAAACATCTGAAAAACCTCGAATGAATCGCCTGTACCATCCAGCTGTTCCTAGGAAACTCCTCAACTGTCTCGCATTCTTTGGTACTGGGATCTTGGCTATTGCCTGAATCTTCCCTGGATCCGTCCTCAAGGACCCCTCTCCGATTACAAAACCCAGATACTTCAGGAATCGGAAGCAGAACTTGATTTGTGTAGCCCGATCGTGAGGTTGGCGTTTTGTAAGCTCTTGGCAACCTCGGTAAGTATCCGCATATGATCCTTGAACGTTTTCGAAATAATCAACAGATCGTCTAGGTACACAAAGACGTTGCTCCTGAGCTTCTGAGGGATGACCCGGTCCATTAGTCGACATAGCCGTTGAGCAGCGTTACATAAACCAAACGGCATCCTCCGAAATTGATACAACGGCCTTCCCGGGATGGTGAATGCGGTGTACTCCCTGCTTTTTTTGTCCAGCTCAATTTGCCAGAACGCATGCATTAAATCCACACTGCTAATGTAAATGGTTTCATCCACACGGCTCAGAATCGACTCTATATTCTGCAATGGGTAAGCATCCTTGATCGTTACCTTATTGAGTTTCCTCGCATCTAAGCATAACCGGTTTTTCCCAGGTTTTTGGACCAGAGTAACTCTATTGTTCCATGGGCTTTCACTAGTCTCGATTACACCTAATCGCAACATTTCGTCTACTTCCGCATAGAGCAATTCCTGGACTTTTGGTGACACCGGATAGAACCTTTCCTTTACTGGGACTGTTCCCGCCTCCAGTTGTATGGAATGCGTTTCCAGTTCCGTCAGTCCCATGCCGTGTCTTTCGTAAGTTAGAAACTTATCCTGCACTAACTCCAACTGTGTTTTCTCTTCCTCAGACAGGATGTGTGGTTCTACCGGTTCGCTCGTAACATGGAACTCATTCTCAATCGACGACAATTCACCTACCCCTACGACGTCCGGAGCTAATGAAAATTTCCGCCAAAAGTCTATTCCCAAATATTGTTTTTGCCGCAGTGAGGGACATAGGAGCAATGATATGCGGTGAGTTTCCTGTTTATAGCAAACGTCCACCTCTATGCGACCCGCTATCCGGTGTGTTGCACCGCCTGCTGTCTGTACTGTTGATCTCACTTTCAAAACTTCTAGTTTCAGCCGTTTTACCAGGTCCATACACCCGTCTCCTAGGATGCTCTTCGATGCTCCCGTGTCAAGTAGCCCCTGCATTGGATGATTTGCAACCAATACCTCGGCAAACGCTCGGTTTTCCGTCGTAGCTGCTGATATTATAGCTGTGCAGACCTCTCTTCGTTCCTGTTTTCGTTGCTGGTAACGCCTCCGGGCTCGGATTATCCTCGACGACTTGCGGGAATGGCTATCTCCCCTTGGTTCTCCAAATATCCTTTCCCTTGCCTGCTGATAGTCGCGTTCCCTCTCTTCCATAGGTCTGGCCACGTATTTTGTTCCTATATTTACCTTGTTTATGTTTTTATTTATTAATATCTTCTTAAACACTGACTTATATTTATCTTTTAACATATCTTTCAGATCCTCGGAGGCAGTTAATTCATCGTCTTGGGATGGGAGCGGGACTCCTCCGGTTGCGTCAAGCTCCATCTCGCGTTTCCCGCCTGACATTTCGGACACCGAGTAAAACGTACTCCCTGTCGGCCGCATCTGTAGCAGAACTTATTAAGGACCTCCGAGTCGCACGTGTAATACGTGTGTCCCGGCATGGAGCAATTGTAGCAGACCAACGTACTTTGCGCTCCGCCTTCTCAGCCCCGGGAAATGGCCTCTACAAACTCGGAGTCCTCGTCTGGCTCCTGGGATACATACGCCTCGTGAACCTGGTGCTTCTCCTTCGGTGGTCTCTGGTGCTCTTGCATCCCGGATGTGCGCGACCAGCGATTGGCCAAAACCCTCTCGGCTTCGTGGCATTCCTCCCTCAGTTGTTCCAGGTTAGTTAACCACATCGGATATATTATCCTCGATATCCCGTCTCTGATGTTCACTTTAATTGTCCTTATTAGGTCGTGGTCGGATATGTTGATGTCCAACTGGGATCGGAGGCTCAGCATCGCCTGCAGATACTCATCCACGCTCTCTCCTGGTCGTTGCTTTCGCTCGCGTAGTTCTCGCTCACGCTCGAAGTTCGAACGCAGCGTTTGGAAACGTTGTTGCAGCGCGTTTTTTAGATTTGGCCAATCCCTCAATCCCGTTGTGCATCCAAAACCACTCCTTGGCCTGACCATCTACCAGGCAGTGAAAAGATCGAAGAACCTCTTCCCACGTGACTTGGTAAGCCATCTGTAGATGCTCTATCCGGAATATAAATTCACCAATTGGCATTCCCCTAGGTCCGCCATCGAAGGATACCCACCCATACCCTCTGTTGCTCTTCCCAGAGTCTGCCATCAGCTCGCTGCTGCGCTGGATTAGGCATGGCTGCTTCCATGGATGGTCTAGGAGGAGGCTCCTGAGTGTCTGCCTGTGCCTTCACTGTAGGGCGGACGATCTGATTGATTTCCTTCATGAAATTCATCATATCCTGTTGCATTTGCTTCTGGAAAGCAGAGACCTCAATGGACGCCGCTTTACGGTAAGTTTCATGAGCTTGTAATAGAGCTAAATTAATGGCTGACTCTATTTCTTTACCTAAATGCACAGGACGCTTCCCTTCCTCATCGCTAGTGAGATTGTGTTGGTCGCCGCGGGGAACTCCGTCGCTAGTATGTGCTTCCACGCCCCCCACTGCTCCCGTCATATCCTGCTGGTCGCTAATCTCAAAGGCTGCGCTACCATCCATCATAAACCCCTGGGGAGTAGTGATATCCTTTATCTCTCGGTTCACTTTCTGATTGGCTTGGGAACGTGTAGCTGGCGGAGTCATTATTTCGGATCCGCGGTTCAAAAAAAACTCTAAACTTCTTCTAATTTTTCTATTGAATGTCTGCCTGTTTCTTTCGCCTTCTGACATATCTTTTCTTCCCTTCTTTTTCTTAACTTTTCTGTTTTTCTCTTTTGTCTGCTAGGTAGGGTGAGTGACGAATATTTTACCCAGCCCACTGTACTTTCATATTCCTAATCCTTCTTGTTTCTTTTCAGCAGCTTTCATCTTCTTTGGCCGGACTACATGTGTGTTGCTTCCAGCAACCTTTTCCACAAGGACCACGACCGCTGGATGTTGTAAGCTACCGATCCTGATCTCCTTTTGGTTGATTCTGACTTTTCGCCGTCTTTATAGGTGTTCCTAGACTTCTTCTTCCGACGCCCTTGATGGGCCGCGCCGAACCAGGATATTTCTGTCTCCTGTCGGGGTCCCGGTCGTGGGCATCTCAGCGATCATCCTACGTGGCTGCGTCTCTCGCCTCTTAGTGGGACTTCTACGATTTGCTCTTGGTAGCAATTATCCAGGACCACCACTAGTTGTCTTTTTATTATGTTTTCTTTGGGCGCCACTCTGTTATGTCTCGACTTATTTTTGGTGATCCAACCATCGGATTCCGGCTAGCAATCGGATTTCTCAAGCGTGAGTCTGACCTCGATAGTTGGATCTGTCGGCACACAGTAATAATTTATTTTCTTCAGACTTGATGACAACTTAAAAAATGAAAGGAAACAAGGACTGCGGACCTGCTGTTAATGGCCGCGGAATATACCCCCCTTCCTTGAGCTGCTGTATTTTTTTAAGCAACTCCCCGACACTGGCTACTGGGTCTGTTATGCGTCACCTCACCCCATTGTTAACACTCTACTCGCTCATTTTCTTTTCCACTTTAATTCACAAAATGCTTATAAATAACATTCATTTAACTTCACAATTCCCTAACCTGGGTACCATAGGGACGATTACATCACACATGAATAAATAGTTATAAGTATAAATAAATGAATAAATAATAAATATATAGGGTTACATGAGTATTTTAATTTATGTAGAAGTAGATAAGTAGATTTGTAGTTTGTAGTTTGTAGTGGGTGGTTATTGTTGATTATTTCGTGGTTTTTATTCACTTTAAAACTAAACTTAAAATAAAAAAACCTGGCATCACCCAGATGTGGGCGGCGATAATCAAATTTCCAATAGTTTTCTCCCAGTTTAATTCCTTTCCTCGCAGACTCCCAGGTTTCGAATTTGGCGCCGGAAGCTGCAAACACAAAAGCACTTTAATTTATATTTTTTTTTTTATCTAAAACTTGCACTTTGGAATTTTGTTCCCAGAGACACGACTACTTTTTCTCAGCTTCTAGATGGTTCTGATTTGCCCTTTAGTTGCCCTTCTTGTAAGTCGGCTCAATTGCTTTTTCGAGAGAGAGTTTTCCGGAATTTAAAACTATCTTGAGCCCACTATTCTACTAGTTCCGCCACGAACCAGCACGACTCCGGAACCAGTTCTCCATTCCCAGGCCATCCCTAGTATCGGCATCTGTTGCTCCTCTCTAACCCAGGTACGCGGTCGTTTGGTATGTTTTGATTTTGTATAGGTTTATTTTCTTTATTTTTGGCAGACCATAACAAGTATGTGCTTCCGCTTTTTATATGGCGAAAGATACGTATTTCCTAGTGTATGCGTTCAATTTTGTACAAGTCATTATACAAAAATAATGTGTGCGTATATTGACCAAACCGTAGGACTGGCAAATATTGAGTTAAGAGATTTTATTAGAAATGCTCTTGGTCTCGGATATAATATTATTAAAATTAAGAAGTTAGAGGAATGGTTTTGCAACGTAATCACCATTCTTCTTTCTCCATTTGTAAATAGTTATGTTATAGATTCTATATCCTATTTATCAGGTAATAGCTTACCCACTTTTGATTTGAGCCAGCATGAAGCGTCCGTAGAGACCGCGAGGATGCATTGAATACGATTGCAGGCCAGAGTGAATTTAAAAAACGATTCACTTTTATTGCTCTGAAAATCACTGAAATGTAATCAAAGCGATCCGAAACTGTCCAAATTAACATATGTATGTATATCCCGAAATGGTAGATGTTATTTTGGGGAAATACATATATTGTTTTTGCTCCGTTTTGGACTAATGGTATAGGAATTTTAATTGACGAGAGCAATAAAAGGACCAGCAACGGTCCAATTGAGTCATTCTTTAAGACATTGAAGCACATGTCATTAAATCAAAGCAGGGATTAAAGTTAGGAAAGTTCATCCGAAAATTGGACGATCTTTCAAAATCCGTGAATATTCATGTTCCCCTCTTACTCATGGTAAGTTAATAAGAGCAAGGGCAAAAAACCCTGCCTTCAAAAAAAAAAATTTGTTTTAAATGAAATTTCCAATAAAAATCTGTCAACAATAGAAGAAAGTTGGCAAAGAAAAGGAATAAAGAAGCTAAAAGTAGGGTTATTTAAAATGGATTTTTCCGGACTAAATAAAGTTCGTGAAGAACATATAAAAGCCCGTCACTTAAAAAATTCGAATGAATTAATTCAATTGAATCACTCTTACGTACTCGAAAAAAGAAAATTTAAAGTGGAAGATAAATTCAAAAAGGTTATCTTTCAACTTTTTCACATAAATAAAGCATTACGAAAGATGTTAATATTTACATGCTATCATGTAAGACTCTCTTCGAGGGTGTACATGCGTCAAATAGTACCCGTTTTATATTTCATATCGAACTAAGTGATTTACTTACACTGCAGAATAAAAAGTGGCTGTCTAACTTTATCTTAGACGCCGCTTTAACTGCTTTAGTTTTTTATAATGAAGATGTGACATCAATAAATGTTCCATGTAAAATTAATGATTATGGATTCCAGAATGAAGAAATGATTAAATCAGCCTATGAAGAAGGAGGCCGCCATTTAATTGTTCCTTTTTGTACATTTATATTCTTAGATCCTTTTGGAAACACCAAAAATGCGAAAATGTTTATATATTATTACAATAATATACTAAGCCGCATAAGTAAAAGAAGATTTATAGTGTTGTTGGATTTTGAAAAAATATCGTATTGAAGATATTTGCTGTTTAAAAAATATCACTCGATGATATTAAAAAATATCGTAAAAAAATATCGATATATCGAGTATTTTTGATATTTTTCAATGTTCAGCTAATTTTTAATAAAGGTTTCCTGTTGGGTCTTTTATAAGCCTAAGAATATGTATAATCAACCATGAACTGCAAATAAGAGCAATTAGAGACACAATAGACTATTTTTTATTTAAAAAGTAAATAGAAATCATTGATCTTAAAGCCTAGTATCCAGATCGACAAACGATTACGCTAGCGTAAAAACTTTAATCTTTCCAGTGCACCAAAAGTTTGAGAGTTCATCAGATTTAAGCGTGCTACGGTCGTACTGTCAATCAGCTGGGTTGGTTGACAAGCAGTTAAAATTCAAATATCGTATTTGCGGGAAAGAGCCTTTAGAAGATATTATCAAATACCTTGGAAATACAAGTCTGCCGCAGTACAAAGAAATTAAAAAAACAAAACAATTTAAATTTAACATTTTTTTTAATTTACTGATAATTATTTGTTAATTTAAAGTTCATAGCTGCACTTTTATTGTGTTTTTTCGTACATTCTGGACTTAAAAAACATTTTGCTCTGACAAGGGCACCCCAGATAGTATTAATGTTATTTTGTCCTCACATGTAAACACCTGCAATCGACTTTTGCGAGTTTTTTGAGTTTTTCCCTCCATTTCTTATAATGTTCAGTGAGAAGCGCACGCCAAAAGATTAAATTTTTTAATCTTTTCGCTAGGGTTCACCCAAAGTTCATTTTCGCAGACTGGCAACGCTATGGAATTTTCTTGTAATTTTTTTCGTCGATCTGTGGACCGACGTGAAAAAAAGGCCCGACGTAAAGTGAACGCCAGCTGTTTGCTTTTCGCTCTCTCTCATGACTGGCGTACGGTTTTCGTCGAACTGGATACTAGGCTTTAAAAAACAAATTTTTTAAAAATTAAAATCGAACACCCTTGATGCTGAAGAGTTGTGCATCCAATGTGGGTGGCCGAACCATTTGAAACAGGCTTTATGAAGCAGACTCGAGACAGCCTATTGAATATCTCAGGAGCTTTTAAACAACTTAATGAGGGCTTCAATTCCGGCTGTGCCCAGCTTAATAATAAAAAATTATTAACCGATGCCCTCTTCCCATAGAGTCCATCCGTCTGAAACGTTTGGGATTTTTGACAAATGTGAAACTCCGATTCCCACAGAGCACATCCACCATCCACCATCCGATAACAGCTGATCTGAACAGCTGTGGCTCATTATTTTAGACCGTTGCATTTTGCACAACATTTAAAATGAGCTCAGCGTTATAAATGATACTTGGCAACAGACTGCAAGTGATCTACGCGAACAATCAAATCGAACTAAGACGTCTGCCGATTTTTGCCAGCCTGCAGACAAAATATGAACAGCTATTGCCCAATATTGTCTAAATGGTAACAAATCAAGTTCATTATATATAAATGTTTGTTTTTTGTTTTATTATAATTTCATATTTTATATCATTTTAAATGTTCTGCTCAATGTTGTGAGTAAGGTATGCGCCTAGGAAAGAGTGGATCAACACCTAATGCTGCCACACGGATGGAGCATTAATTAATTAATTATTACAAGTATAAACTGCATTTTTTGAATTGGCGCCTTCCTGTTCAAAAGTTGCCCGCCATTATTTTTTTAAATTTTCGTAGTGAATGTTCCAATTTCCACTGTCAATAAGAAGAACTCAGAGTTGCACCAAAAAAAACATCGCCTAACTATCGCATAAAAAAGTCCGTCAAATTTGGATGGGGAACTAACTGGGAATTTTCGGAACGGCATAACCTTATGGACCATCCGTTCAACGGATGGTGGATGGTGGATGGAGCTCTGTGGGAAGAGGGCACGAGTTGCCTAAACGCAAAAAAAGCCAGTTTAACCGCCGTTAATACGATTTTGGAATCCTCCCCAAATCCGAACTTGGTAGGAGCAGTTTCTGTTGACACAGGGGTAAATGAACCAACAGTGAGGTTCAGACTGCTGCTGGGGGGCGAAAGAAACTTTCAGCTGATCCACAAAGGAAGCAATTATTTGTTTTTAGATTCACCCCAGATACCACATCTGAGGATGTTTTCGAATTTATACATACGTGAAAAATTCCCATCCGAGGATATTGCAGTTGAATAATTTCGATTTTCATACGCTCGTAGAATTGTCCTACTAGGATATCGTTTTTTTAAATATTTGCTGCGCCTGATGTGCTTAAAGCCTAGTATCCAGATCGACGAAAACCGTACGCCAGTCATGAGAGAGAGCGAGAGGCGAACAGCTGGCGTTCACTTTTCGTCGGGCATTTTTTTCACGTCGGTCCCCTGATCGACGAAAAAAATACCAGAAAATTCCATAGCGTTGCCAGTCTGCGGAAATGAACTTTAGGTGAACCCTAGCGAAAAGATTAAAAAATGTAATCTTTTGGCGTGCGCTTCTCACTGAACATTATAAGAAATGGAGGGAAAAACTCAAAAAAGTTTACAATTGAGGACAAAATAAAATTAATACTATCTGGGGTGCCTCTTGTCAAAGCAAAATGTTTTTTAGGTCCCGAATGTACGAAAAAACACAATAAAAGTGCAGCTATGAACTTTAAATTAGCAAATAATTATCAGTATATTAAAAAAAACAACTGTTAAATTTAAATTGTATTGTTTTTTAATTTCTTTGTACACCGACAGACTTGTCTTGCCAAGGTATTTGAAAGAGCCTTTAAAAGATATTATTTAAAGGCTCTTTCCCGCAATTACGATATTTGAATTTTAACTGCATGTCAACAAACCCAGCTGATTGACAGTACGACCGTAGCACGCTTAAATCTGATGAACTCTCAAACTTTTGGTCACACTGGAAAGATTAAAGTTTTTACGCTAGCATACTCGTTTGTCGATCTGAATACTAGGCTTAAGTGTCTTGGAAATGCTGCCGTGTGGCCATTCAATATTGAATGTTATTTAATTGTTCAAAAACCGAAAGTGACCATTTTCTTCAAAAGTCATTTGTACATATGTTCATGCTGGAAAAAGGACATGAAATGCAGTCAGTGAGCAAGCCTTGTTATTGAAGCCTAGTACTGAGATTCACGAAAATTGTTTCTCAGTCTTGAGAGAGAGCGAGAGGCAAGCAGCTGACGTACACATTAAACTGGACATATTCGATTAATTTAAATTTGTTTGGTTTTCTGTTTGTCAACAAAACCAGCTGATTTACAGTAATACATACTTTGAACTCGACATTTTCGATTAATTTAAATTTGTTTGGTTTTCTGCTTGTCAACAAACCCAGCTGGTTGACATTAAGAACGTAGTACGCTCAATTCGGATGAACTCTTGAAATTTTAGTCACACTGGAGAGATTAAAGTTTTTCCGCTGGCGAACTAGTTTGTCAATCTGAGTACTAAGCTTGAGTCTAGTTTTAAATTTACATGATTTTCGTACCTATCTGAACAATGACACTGAGAAACTGCAAAAGATGGGGCTTTGTGGGAATAGTATATAAGATCACACTTTGGTGTGACGATTTGTTGGCTTGTTCACATCACCATTCGATAGACATATGGAATGCAACAGTAGATAATACACTTTGACAACCGGAAATAAACATATTTCTCTTTCCTTTGCTGTTTCAGATCGAACAGTAAGCTATTTTTGTGGATATTGTTGAATTTTCGGAATTTTATTCAATGTAAGTTTTTGCATTTCAACAATAACAGTTTGTAACCCATATTTATTATTTATTATGCAGATGCCGCGTGAAATTAAGGAAGTTAAAGACTTTCTTAATAAAGCACGTCGTTCAGATGCTCGTGCTGTAAAAATAAAGAAGAATCTGACAAACACTAAATTTAAGATCCGTTGTTCACGGTTTCTTTATACTCTTGTCGTGCAGGATAAAGAAAAAGCCGACAAAATTAAGCAGTCTTTACCACCAGGACTGCAAGTCAAGGAGGTGAAGTAAACCATCATAATTAAATGAGGCGCCATCTTCACAATTTATACTTAACACATTAAAAGTTTGTTAACCGAAATTTGTGTTTTAAAAATAAATTGACTTCATGCAGCCAAAGTGAAAGTCTATATTGCTAAGCGATTGTTTATCTTTTAAATTAAAACCACACCATGGCTTGCGTGTATAAATCAAGTTAGAAGATGACATCGATTTAGACGAATAAATTTTGCGGAAAACACTGGCAGTTTATTTCGTGCAGACTTAAACTTTAAATTCAAAATCATATAGCTGGCAAACTATACGGAATATAAAAAAGATTTAAATGAAGTTATATTTTCTAGTATTTTGGCAATTATTAAGGCACTTCATTATTTTTAAACTCGATTAGATAAAACTTAAAACTACGAAAAACTAAAAATACCGACTTTTGCTAATGTCACAGCTTATTTCGTGCAAGGCACTTCATGTTAAAGAAAATGTACTATTAAATAACTTAATACTTGTGTGGCCCTCATTCTGCTTAAGGGGTTATCCGGGTCTTGACACTTCAAAAAATTCATTTTTTTCAAATTTTTTTATATAATAGTACAAAGTTTCAGGAATGTTGTCTGAAAATTTCAAGTCGATCGAAGCAAAACTGTAGGAATGGGAGAAATTTAAAGCCCAGCGCGTCGGACGTCACAACGGGCCAGATGCGGCACTTTAAACGCGTTTTTCTCAAAACCACTTTTTGAAGTCGGTAGTCACGATTTCTCAAAAACTATTGCACCGATCAACTTCTGCTTTTGCACACTTCTTTTAGACATAATTCTCTTGTCCTTAACGGAGGGATTTTTTAATTTTTAATTACAACTCATTTTATAAGCCAAAATATGGCCAAAATTTACGTAAAAAATGACACTTTTTATGAAAAGCGCTACAAAAAATTCAATTTTTAATTTAAAAAAAAAATGGCTCGTAGAGGACAAGCGAGACACATACACAATCAAAATAATTTTGGTTTTTTGATTTCAGACAAAAATTGGAGGAGATATTTTGCCTACCGCAAGGACACAATTTTTTATGAGGTCAAGTTCAAGCCTGCCTCAACGGCTCAATTTTAAAAATATTTGATTCAAATTTTTACACAATGTTGGTCAAACCATAAACATTAATGTACAATAAATGAAATTTGTGAAATTGTCATAAGATCTTGAAAAAAAATTCACGAAAATAGGATTTTTTTCGTGCTCCAAGACCCCTTAATGACAAGCAGTTTGCATCGATGGAGCCAACTTTTCTGTTGTTTTCTTAGGAATCTTGACCTATTCTTCCAAGATTTTTAGATCATTTTTATTAGATATTGACCTCTTGCGGATGGCCAAATACAAAATTGCCCATACATTTTCAATGACGTTAAGGTCTGGTGACTGGGGAGGTAGATTCACTTCGTGAGGGCAGTTCCAGACAAGCCATGTCTTCACAATTGCTGCTGAATGTTAAGGATCGTTATCCTGGTAATACCGAAATCGATCGCGGATGCCCAGTTTTTCAGAAGGTTTTCCTTTAAATTTTGTAGGTAAATTTTGGCCATCCATGATCCTGTCAATAAAAACGAGGTTGCCCCACCAGAAGCTGCCATACAGGCCCAAACCATAACATGACCCCCGCCATGCTTGATCGTAGCTAGTTTGTTAGTTTTCCAGCTCTGTATTAGGAACAAGGGAACCTATTCTTCTTTCGTTTTTGGATGACGTTTTATTTGCAGACGAGTCAAAATGTAACCTTTTTGGTTCAAAAATGTACTAAAAAAAAAAGGTACAAAAGGTACTAAACGTAGGTACTCCTACGTTTATTAGTTACTTTCTTGAAAATACGCCACTCGACCGTATATATTCAGTTAATGATTTAGGTGTTCTTCTGGACCCTAAACTTAAATTTGACTGCCACATAATGTCCACAGTTAACAAAGCCATGAGTGTTCTTGGCTTTATAAAGCGTTGGTCAAAAGAATTTGGTGACCCTTATACGACCAAATTATTATTTATTGTTCGTCGGTTTGGAGTCCACAATATCAAGTGCACATTGACCGTATTGAGTCGGTACAAAAAAAATTTCTTCTATTTGCCCTTCGTAGTTTGAACTGGGATCAAAACATAAGGCTACCTTCCTACCAGAGTAGGTTACTGTTGCTTAATTTACCTACACTTGTAAATCGTAGAACAATGGTTGGTACTATTTTTATGCAAAATCTTATAAGAGGTGATATTGATTCTGCAGAACTTGTAAACCGCCTAACTTTCAATGTTCCTGTTAGACTAACACGAAATTATATCCCTCTAAATTTGCCACGATGTTCATCAAATTTTTGTCTGCACGAGCCCTTTCGCCTTCTATGTAATAATTATAACAACCTTTATCATCTAATTTGCATTTCAACTTCTATCCCGTTATTAAAAACTAATATTTTAACTCATTTGCTTTACTCTTAATTGTGCCTTTTATTTTCGCTTGTGTCTTGTCTCTATTTAATTTATGTATTTTCCTCGCGAACTCGCATTTTTTGCCCAAATTGATAATAGGGCCCGCGCGTAACAAGCACGTGCTTGGTGTCGTTGGGCCACTTGTTTGTACTGCTCGTAGTGCATCAACGACCATCAGAAAAAAAAAAAAAAAATGTTTGTCGGCGACCTTATACGAAACTTGTAAACAAACACCGAAAAGTCAATATAATCAGCAATTCATCGCATTTAAACCAGTAAATGTTGATTAAAATGCGATGAATTACTGCTTAAAATGTGATAAATTGCTGATTTATGTAAATGTGATGAATTCATCGCATTTTCATCAGTAATTCAAAGCATTTTAATCAGCAGATAAACACATAATTTTTATCCATATTTCCATTTATTTAATTATACAATTTTCATAAATTTATTGGCTTTTATTTATTAAATTTATAATATAATTATCCCAACAAGCAATCAGATAAATAATAACACATTAATTGATTTTATGAACTCGTTTATACGAAATGCAAACTCAAAAAGCAACGACCAAGAAGGTCCCGTTGATTTCTGAGAAGTTTTTGCTTCTTAGGAATGATGTGTGTGTATCAATGTCTTTTTGTACATTTGTATATTTGTATATTTGCTTGTATGCATATGCACAAGCGTATTTTTTAACATTATTGATTATTATAATTCTAAATCTTAATTATATCTGTAATGAAAAAATAAATTTTAAAAATATGAAAACTTTCTCAGTAGAGCACGAAAAAGTTAGGCATTCAAATAAAAATGTTAGGCCAACTTAAACTAAACTTATTAAAAGCGTTTCTTGTTTTGCCGCCGGACAAGTCCAGCTTAGTTTATGTTGGCCTAACAATCAATTATAAGCTTCACCTAAAATTATGAAAAAATATACTAGCAGTAACTATACCTAAGATTAAGCGATTGAAAAACAGAAAAAAAAAAATTTTACAATTTGCTGCTATTTTTTTAGAAGTTTTATTTATATTAAACAGATAAAATTGCATTTCTCCACCCTAATAACATTGTCAATATACAACAGGTGTGTTAATAATTCTTAGTTGTTTATTTTTATACTATTTACTGCGATAAAAAATATATTTTTTTAAGTTCCAAGGGGGCGAGCATTGCAAGTTTAACTGTGTAAACTGTCACATTCCAAACATTTTGAATAACACACCTAAATACACCACAAAAAATCTCAGCTTCGATCAGTTTTCTGCGATCTCTCAAATGCAAGTGCATGTAAAAACCGTGAAAACAACTTCGAACAAGAAAAATGGCGCCATTGAACGTATTGTTCTTTCCTTTGACAAAAGTTGTGTTAGCATGGTTCGCTTCCCATCAAAGCAGGGTATAGAAATTTAAATTAACCTAATAAACGATCATATTGTATGTTATTTTTATACCCTTGCAGAGGGTATTATAATTTTGGTCAGAAGTTTGTAACGCAGTGAAGGAGACGTTTCCGACCCCATAAAGTATATATATTCTTGATCAGGATCAATAGGGGAGTCGATATAGCCGAGTCCGTCTGTCCGTCTGTTTCAATACCGTTTGGGAGCTCAGTTTAAAAGCATTTTAAATAAGTCGTCCTTAAATACATGTTCGCAGATCAAGTTTGAAAATCACCCCGATCGGATGTCTATATCCTATAGCTCCCATAGGAACAATCGGACATACCTTGCAAGAATTGATGACGCAAATCTTTCCAAATCGTATTTTTTTATGTATACCCTGATCAGGGTAAAAGCGCGTGCCGATCGGACGCCTATATCCTATAGCTCCCATAGGAACAATAAGGTGAAATCGGTTAAAATTTTATGATTTTCAGGATATTTTGCACAGTATATAACCGATTGACATGAATCGTATTATTTCATGCATACCTTGATCAAGGTAATAGCGCGTGCCGATCGGATGTCTATATCCTATAGCTCCCATAGGAACAAAAGGGTGAAATCTGTCCAAATATGATGTTTTTCAGAGTATTTCGCGAAGTGTATAAGCTATTCACATAAATTGTTCCAGTCTTATTTATCTACGCATATATTGATCAGGGTAAAAGCACTTGCCGAAGTAGCTTCCGTAGTAATATTTATTAACGGCGGCGAAAATATGTCTTTTTGTATTTTTATATGACGTTTTCTGCGTTTCCTACGATTGTCGACTGAGAGTGTCGTCTTTGCTTTTGGGTCTGCTGGCGTCGCAGTCGGCTGCTGATGAAAGGGCTAGCTTTGCAGTGTTAGCGCGAACAAATTCGACAGTGGATGGTATTGCTCGCACGAACATTCAGTTAAATTTCGAAACAGTTTTTGATAGAATTTATATATTCCCTGCAAAATGAGCCCGCACTGTGGCAGGCAAAAAGTGAGACGAATAAAAACAAAAATAGGGGTAACAAGGTATGGCTAATGTTATTTCATAAATTACAAAAGTTTTATTTTTTTGTTTTGCTTTCGTCCGCTGACATGCTTTCTCTGAAAATTTTCGGCGAATTAATGTTCGCCAAAATGTTTGCACTCGTTGGTGGGCCAATGAAATTCTTGTTCGTCGAAGAAATTCGGCTGATTCGCGTTTTTAGGGCCGTGGTTCCCCGAACCCTGCCCTTACACACAAAACAATTA